AGCCATGTGGTCCTGGACTTTTACTTTTTGGTAGGTTTTTAATGATTGTTTCAATGTCTATACTACTGATCAGTCTATTTAGATTTTCCAGTTCTTCTTGATTCAGTTTAGGAAGGTTGTAGTTTTCTAAGTACTGTCCATTTCTTCTAGGTTATTAAATTTGGTATTATATACTTTTTCATAGTATTCTTGTATGATCCTTTGTATTTCTGCAGTGTCTGTTGTAATTTCCCCTTTTTCATCCCTGATTTTGTTTATTTGTCCTTTCTTTTTCTTTAGTGAATCTAGCCAGGGGTTTGTCAATTTTTTTAACCTTCTCAAAGAACCAGCTCTTTGTTGCATTTATTTTTTCTATTTTTTTTTTTTGTTGTTGTTGTTGTTTTCAATTTCATTTATTTCTGCTCTAATTTTGATGATTTCTTTCCTTCTGCTGACTTTAGGCTTCATTTGTTCTTCCTTTTCTAGTTTTCTAAGATGAAGCATCAGGTTGTTTATTTGGGCTAGTATGTGTTTTTGGAGGTAGGCCTGTAATGATATGAACTTCCCTCTTATGACCGCTTTCGCCATGTCCCAAAAGTTTTGATATGTTGTACTATCACTATCATTCATTTCTATGTATCTCTTGATCTCCCTTTTTATTTCTTCTCTGACCCAGTTATTCTTCAGTAGTATGTTGTTTAATCTCCATTTATTTGTGGTTCCTTCCGCTTTCTTTTTACAGTTGATCTCTAGTTTCAAAGCATTATGATCAGAGAATATGGTTGGTACGATTTCAACCCTCTTATATTTGTTGCAGCGTAGCAATTTTTTGATTGAAGACCTAATCAAGGATCACGTTGCATTTTGGTTATCAATGTTTTCTTTACTCTCTAGCATCTTTAGAATAGGCCATGGTTCTTTTTTTTAATTTAAAAAAAATTCTTTCCTTCTGTTTTTTTCCTCCTTACCTCCCTTCCTTCCATCCACCCTGGCAAAAACAATGCAAAATTTAAATGCTTTTCCATGCTTTTAAAACTACAGAAGACCGTAAGTTTTCTTGTATGAGTGATACAAGCAAAATGTAATAGAGTGTGGTGGCAAGTGACTACACTCTATTACATTTTGCTTGTATCACCTTTATCATTAGAAATTGACAAAGATTTTATGAAAGACATGGCATTTCCGTGGATCCTGAAATCACAGATGCTCGCTGTAAGGAAAACAAGCTGTAGGGATAAGCATGAAGCACTTGAGAAACCAAGTTGGTTGTTTTCTCTTGAGTAGCTTGTTCAAGAAACAATGAACATCCATTTTGGAAAGCATGTTGCAGCTTGATTCATAAGCAATCAGAAATCTTAATTAAAAAAATAATTTCCAAGCTCATTAGAAAAATGGAGGCTATTTAACTGTGAACAGCAAAATTATCTCTGGGTGGTGAGACTAGTGAGTGAATTTTTCTTGTATTTCCTGCCAGTCTTAGGCAAAAAGGAATCATTGTAAAATTTTGACATGCATTATAAATTTTATACAAGAACCTCCTATAACATTAAATATCAACTCAGCATTTAAAACCCTATAATTATAATTACATATCATATTTTATTCTCCCATATTGTTGTTTTAATCTTCTCCCTATTGTTGGACATTCAGATTGCTTTCAATTCCTCACTGTAACAAACAGCTTTGTCCATATGTCTATTACATCTCTCATTATTTTCTTATAATAGAGTCCTAATAGGGTTGCTGAAGCAAAGCTTACAATAGACTCCAACTGGGGTGTGTGCCCAGCTGACATTGATTCCCGAAGAGTCTCTGGCTGTGCCATTGTTCTCAGTCCTTGTCCTTAATCATTCTGATACAGGAATAGAACACCTAGATTCAAGCTGCACCCTACCACCCATCAAAAAAGATTTGGAAACCTGACAGAGGCAGAAAAAAGGGGGTCACCTCAAGTAGTATCCTGGTGCAGTGACCTCATGCTTCTGCACCTGGTTCTGACATTGTACTGCTCCTGCTCCTCTCCTTACTGGAGCTGGTCTGTGGTGCCCTTGCTTGTGTCATGTGAATAACCTTATACTCCTTCCCCAAAAATTTATGTTTAGCTTGTTCTGGGTTCCTTTCTATTGTTATCGAAAAAGAAAGCCCTTGCTGATACTGATGGGATTACATACTACAGACACCTAGAGAAAGGCAGTATTAGCCATTGAATCTTACTGGGGTGAAAGGCAGTGAGGCTCCCTTCTATGTTTTGGGACAGAAATGTAAGAGCTCATGGTAAGTGGTAGCCAGATAGCTCATCAACTTCTTACCCTCAGGAAACTGGGCATCACCTTGGGGTGAAGCTCTTTGTGTCCAGGTAGCTGTTGCCAAACGAAGAGAGTGGAGATTGATGAGGCACGCTGGCCACACATGTTATGTAACTGTTACTGGTCCAAGGTCAACAGTCATTGAGTAGAGGTGATGCAATTGAAACCTAGGCAATTTCACTCCACAGCCTTGGTTCTAAACCAGTATATATTCCCTTGTCAAATGCAGTTAAGATTTTTTTTTATTTGAAAAGAAGATAATGTCAGCTGCCCTCACCAATAGAGTTGCTGAAGATAGCAAATAAAAACATGAGACTCTTTATTAAATTTAAATTCCAGATAACCAATCAAGAATTTTTTTTAGTATGAGTGTGTCCCAAATATTGCCCAGGACTTACTTACATTGAAATATTGTTGGTTGTTTATCTCAATTCAAATTTAATCTGATGTCCTATATTTTCTCTGGCAAATGTACATGGCCCAATCCCATATCTTTTTCATTAGTGCTCTCAGCAACAAAGATTAATTTAAATTCAGCACATACATGCCTTAGAGGGTATAGTGAAGAAAGCATTTTAGAGGAAATTTCAGAAATTCAGATTTATTAAAACTATTGCTATCATACTTATCAAATAGTGTGCACTCAATGTGCTAGCTTAAGCAGCCAGCTTTAATTTCATGTTTGGTGCCCTGGTGAGGGCAGACCATTGTTGAATGCTGTCCTACATACACTAAGTGACATTGAATTCCTTCCCTTTTATCATCCTAGGGCTTTTCTTGCTCTAAAAGTCTGCACAACTAAAAACATAAGTTTGGATATATATATATGTGTATGGCATACCTCCTTCTCATTCTGTTTTGCTTTTGCATCTCAGAAGAATCTTCTTTCCACAAGAAATAGATTGCTGAGACAGGCTATAGAATCCTTTAAAAATGAACATTGCTAACTATGGGCTACGACTGCAGAGAAAAGAGATGCAATGAAAATGGGATCCCTAAACTCAGCAGTTAGGAATCAGGCTGAAGGCGAGTGATTGCAGACTCCAAGTGGGTGTGGTCAGAGATCCAAAGGCAGTAGAGTAATCAAGGCTCAGGAAATAGACAAGCAGAAATCTTTGGCTCAAATTAAACATGAAATCTTTAGGAATTATATTGATGAGCCAGCCTTTAAAGTCTATTTTTTATTCGTTTTTTTTGTTGTTGTTGTTGTTTGTTTTTTGGGGTTTTTTTTTTTGTATAAAAAACAAAACCTTTTCAATTGTCATCAATGTTTGAAATGTCTAAGCTGGATGGGAATAAGGTATAAATATCCACATGTACATCTTTCAAGCCTTTAAATATATCCTAGAATGTGATATTGCTTTCGATCAGCTATTTTGAAGGTATGGGGTATGCAAATAACTACCATTTGGTTCTCTTAATCTAAGCAGCCTTTACAAAAGAGGTGAAAGCTAATTTGGGGGCTCTAAAAGTTGCAAAGGATAAATATTCCTATTATATACTCAGAGAAAAATGTGTTAATTATCATCCTACAGGGACTAATGTGAGTAAACCTAGTTGATCTACAGGTAGTCTTTCAGAGAGAATAACATCCACTTCAGGTATTTACAACAGAGAGAATTTAATGCAGCAAACCAGGTGATAGAGAAGTAAGAAAATTGAATAGATGATAGCGAGGAACTTAGGATACAGTAGGAATTGGTGAGAAGAATTTGTGCTGAGAACCTAGGGATGAGGTCACCTTGCGGAAGCTGGAACCCTAGCAGGTCTGTCTGTTGGGAGCTCAAGGCATGGAGAAGATGGAGCTGATGCCAGAAAAGCTGCCTAACATTTTTTTAATCAGGTGGTGATTCTCATTGCAACTGCTGTCCATATGTTGTCTCCTCATTGAAGCAAATTAATGCAGTGACTGAGGTAGAGCTGGATGTTGAATGGTGCCTGTGGCAATTCCTTGTAGGAGAATTGCAGTAAAAGCACCTGGATTTTAAAGAAAGGAATTGCAGATTTTGAGAGCAGAAAAAAGGCCTGTTTCCTTGTTGTGACATGACTTAGAAAAAAAGTCTCTTCTGTCCATATCGTGTGTAGAGCATGTTGTTGGTGGTAAAGTATTTCTATTCCTTTTGGACCATACGTTGAAGCAGAAGTTGAGGGGGAATGGATATCATCTAAAGCAGAGCTACTCAAAGTGGAGGGTCTGCAGGCTGGTGCCAGTCTGTGAGCTATTTATTACTGGTTCATGATGCAAGAAGTTTAGAAATAGAGAGCATGTAAAATCACTCTGTCAAATTAGTATCAAAATCTCTATGCCTGTGGTATGTGATAATAAAAAACCAATTCTTTTTATGTTCTTTTTAATTTCATTTTTTAGCAATTCATTTTTATTGCATTTTCCCAATGAATTTGTCCATGACAGATTAGAAACAAAAACTTACTATTTCTTTCCTACAAAGATGAGAATCACTGATCTTTATGAGCAATGGCTTTGTGAAATCTACCATTACTCTTGGATGAAGCAGCCGTGTGTAACTTCAGACCACTTCCCATTGTGAAAGAGGTGAGCGAGTTTGCCATTGTTCATAGAGTATTTGGGTGGTGTTAGGTGGAAGCATCTGTGACTACACAGGAACATGTGTGTATGTTGAGCAGCCAATGGTGCATGCATATAAATATACCAATGAACTGAGTGTATAGTATTTAGCTCTTCCTTCCCTGCCATGGCTGACTTTCCCAAGGGTAGAAGTATGTAACCAATGCTTCATCCCTCCCATTTGAACAGTAGAACAGTGACCTGCTCGCTGTTCAGGTGGAAGTCGATTGGATCTGAGTCACCACAAAACAGAACTCAAGAAGTCCCCAGGGTTCCTGTTGTTGGTTTTCCTGAAATTGTCTGGGCCTCTGCTCTTTTTGTAACTTGGTTGTTCTTCCTTCAATTCTGGAGTTCCCCTGTGTCCTTCTAATAAATTTTCCTCTTGCTTCAGTTTTAAATCTGTTGCTTGTCACTAAACTCACCTTAAATGATAGAGAAGGTCTTGCTGTTGTAAAGGCATTTTAATAAATATTGCCAAATTACTTTCCAGAGAGTTGTATATCAGTGTATACCATCACCATTTCTCCAAGTATCTTTTCCAGAACTGAACGTTAAATGTATATCTATGTGTAGATATCTATGTGTGTACCTACCTACCTACCTACCTACCTATATCTTTGTCATCCTGCTAGGTTGGAAATGAAGCCTTATTTAGATTTTTTTTTCATATCTGTGAATATTATTGAAGGTGAATATGGCAGTGGGCAAGATTTGGTGTCAGAACACTTTTATAATAACCAAATTTAAATTACCTTAAGCAAAAAACAGATTTTGTTGGCACACATAAAATGGAAAGATACTGGAGTAGTTTATAGAATTAAGAAGTATGGGAACCAAGGCCATGAGGACATGCTTGGGGTGGGGGGAAGGGCATTTATGTCCTAATTGTATACTATGAAGTTACTTTACTACTTTATAGCCTTATTTTTAAAGGCCCCTTCAAAACAAGTATTTATTCCTTTTTTCTTTGAAAGAAATAGGAACAGGGGCTCTGGAGAGTAAAATAGTTAGCCAAACTCTTTTCTAGTTGTATAATAGAAAACGTCCATATTTGCAAGAAATGTTTCTGCTGAGAATCAGTTTATTTTCCTTTTAATGATGACACTAAAAAGAAATAGGAAATTTAAGGTTAATGTGGTTCTGCTGTTAGAAATCTCTTCCTATAAAAAACATAAGGCACATTAAACTTACTACAAACTTCCAAAGGCTTGTAACTAATGTTTGTTTTAGCTTCAAGATTAAAACTGGTTTTTCTACAATCAGCAAGCAAATGCATGTCTCTCACTTTACTCTGTTAAAAAATGATGTAACATCTTTCAATATTTTGTTGTGGTAGGAGAGATTATTTTATTCATTGATTTATTTATGTAGACAAAAATGGAGCCTACTTCCTGCGTCAGTACCTCTTCATCAGGTAAAAGAGTTATTTTTATTTTGTCACTTTGGAATGTATGGAGACATTTGTAGGTCCAACTCACAGCAGTTTGAATGTATTACTTAACAGGAAGTTTAAAGGTAGAGAATCCTGAACAAGCAGGTACAGGGACTCAAAAATAATACCAACCTAGGTTCTTTCCATCTTTCTGTCTTTCTGCTCTATCATTCTTGTTACATGGACTTTTCAATCCTCATGCTTATTTCCTCACATCTGTAGAATGGCTGCTGCAGCTCCAGGCATCGAATCTATGCTCAGAAGGTAGACGGATCAGGTTTGCCATCATTCAGCTCTTGCATCTATTTCTCTCACAAGGACACAAAAGTTTCTATAGAAATCCTCCCAAGAGACCTCTGTTTATGTCCCATTGTTCAAAACGGTCTCAAAATGTGTTTGTTTGTTTGTTTCAGTTTAATTTTAGTATAGGCATACCTTGGAGATATTGCCGATTTGGTTCCAGACCACTGCAGTGAAGTGAGTGTCACAATAAAGTGAGTCATCATCTTTTTGCTGGTGGAAGAAAAAAACACCCAACATCTGTGGAGTGCAATCAAGCAAAATGCAATAAAACGAGGTATGCCTGTAATTCATTTCAGATACAAAGCAGTGCAAGAGGCTGCCCACACTTTCCTACTTCTCTTGGGCTCAGAGTTAGGAGGAGGAAAAGGCAGACATATAGACATAACTGGGGTTCCATACTCAAGAGTTGTGTAAACATGTTTAGTTGCTGGACTCTCAATTTCCAAGAAAGTTTGGAAGTTCTGACTGTTTTCCACCCCTCCCCAAACCCAGCTCTTCACAATGGTCATCACCCCAGCTCCTTCTTTCCCAAGTGTGGAGGATGCTCACTCCCACACTGAGCCAGATCATGGTCATCTCCTTTCCTTTTCCTTACCCTTTCTCAGTTCTCCTTTTAACTAGAGGTGGTCGCATCCTGCACAGGGCTAGACAGAGAAGGAGTTCTGTTAGTGAGGGAGGAGGAAAATGGTACCTGTCTCTGTCACGGTGTTCTTTCACATTTTATCCTTTTCACACTATAAAGTCTGCTTTTAAATGGTTTCCTATCACATTTACTTCGTTGATGCTTACAGGCTGGCTCTTATGTCCTTGCATAATCCTACTGGTGTGATCTTTCTAAAACACAAATCTCACTTTTTCATTAGTTTTCTATTTCCTTAGTGTGGCTTGCAAGAAAGGTCATGATCTTAGCCCTTGCACACCTTTCCAGCTTTTTCTCTTCCACATGGCCTGCTTGGTATTTTCTCTCTTGCAGCTGTATAACTTTGTTCTACTGTCCACCTAGAATAACTTCCCTCCTCTATTTCTCTCTACTCTTTTACAGGCCAGTTTCTCTTGAGCTTCAAAAAGCCGATGCTTCAAGAAGCTTCCCTTAACACCCCGCCCTCATGAAGCTCAAGTATTCGTCCTCTGTCCTTGCATAGCACTTAACGGGAGTCCTTATCTCTGTATTATGATTTATTAATATAACTCACCTATTTTTGAGTGCCAGGCAGGTTTCTGAGAGTAGAGACTGTCTGACTCATCCCTGTACAGTTTGTGACCCATAGGAGGTGTTCAAGCTGTATGTTTTTATTGGCAGGAAAGATGGTAAGCTTGTGGGATGACAGAGTGGGGTCCCATATGAAGAAAGATCTAATTTTGTTTCCTAGGAGGTCAGGATAAAGTTGAGGTATTTTGTTTTCTCTTGTTTCTCAGAACTTTAACATTTTCTGACTCTAATTTAGGAATGGATTGTGAGTAGGATATATGGCTGAAGCAATGGCGCTTCACAAACAAAAGTTATTTGGCAGAACTGACACTGAACTGTACAGAAAACTCACTGGTACAAAGCCAACCTGATAACTACTGTACTTTGAAAGGCCAGCAGTTGTTCCCAGTGCACCAGCTAGTTGAATTAGCTGTAACTTTAAATTCGAAGGACTGAAAGCCTCTGATTCAGGTGTATATAGGCACAAGCACTGGAGGAAAGCAACCTATTATAAAGCATTACCTAATAAAAGCTCTAAGCAGTGCGCTGCTAGGAATAATTCTTGTCAAGATTGGGTTTTGACTATTCTTCACACCAAATCCTTAATTCTGATATTCTGTTGTAGGTCACTCAACCCCAACACCTTAATAAGTAGATACAAAGAGGAGTTCTTTTGGATTTGAAAAGCACACACAGGGACTGAATCAGAATGGTTAATCTCCTATTGGAGAATGAGAAACAGTAGATACATCACCATACAATGGGATTCTAATATCAGAATTAGGTGATAAACCTAAACCAATGTGAGGAAGGAAGCCTTCCATTACAGTTGAGCTCAGATTCTTTGGCCTCCACATATTGCTGCTCCTCCTCTGTGTTATAGAAACTTGCCTCCCATTATCTGTGGTGAAAATTCATCATATCATTTGAGAGCTTTCATTTCTTTAGTCAAAATCCTTACATGTGACATAATCAGGTCCAGTAGTTGGTCCGGCTTTTAAAAAAAGATATCCAAATTTAATTTTAAAAACATTCAAAATATATAAATATACCAATGTCTATTTTCTGGTTTTGTGAGTGGAGGACATCAAGGCCTGTTCTGAGTATGGGGCCTGCTGTTTGATTTCCTGAATTATCTTTCTTGCACCAACTAAATTAATAATGTACCATCCAGTATTTCTAGTTTTTGTTTCTTGAAAGCACCTAGAGAATTTTGCATTCAGATTGTAAGAAAAGAGTCCAACTCCGTCTGGATCTTTATAATTTGCTTTCAGTCTTTCACTATTGTGTCTCCCACACCTAATCCAATACCAGAATTTTCTTCCCTCCTCCTTTGTGGTTTGCTTTTATTTAGCCTTCTAACTCATTCATCTTTTTCAACTTAGTTGTTGGAGAAACACATTTGTCTTCCCATTTAGTCAATTAACAACATTTAGTTAAATTATTTAATGATAATACACTGAACTGATGGGAGCAGAAAAACACAGACATAGCAGACTAGCTTCCCAGAGGCATTTGGTGTGCCATTAGGCATCTATCGGTGTGTTCTATAGAGGGAGAGGTGAATATTTCCAGGAGACCTAGACCTTAACATTTGCACATGTTCAAAACTCATTTCAGTGAATAGAGACATGTTCAATTGCTCACTGCCTTTATGTGCTCTACAAAACACCTGCCATATGCCTTGTTAACCCTGATGTTTTCTTTTGTTTGTTGTCTTGGCTTTTCAGTGTTCTTGCTAAACAAACAACCAAAAAAAAAAAAAAAACCGAAACCATTCTGTCTAGCTATATTCTTTCTGTTATAGAGCAAAACTGAACTGAAGAGGATGATATAATCTGTCATTTTGTCGAGAAGAACCTTCTGTAATAGGAGTCTGAACTGGAAAATGGTCCTTGGCAGCACAGTGGTGCCCTGGACCCTCCTATGTAATGTGGTTTCCTACACGTGTACTTTATCTCAGGCTCTGCCTTTAGGGACCAACCCCACCGGAGATGGGGATTTATGGACAAATAATGAGGGAGTGTTTTTAGGAGAAACCTGTAAGGAAGTGTGGAAAGCAAGATGGAACAGAGATAGAAGCTAAGTGAGGATGTGGCTTCAGGTGAAGTCTCAGCCTTATTCCCAGGGGGGCTGTGGACCACAGACTGTCTCTTGCCTTGAAGCCACCACTGTAGCAGGGAGTAGGGAAGGAGTGTAACTCTTAGAACCATAGCTTCCATCACCTAAGGGCAATCCTCTGAAGAAGATTGCAGTTATGTGAGCAGGTAGTAGTAGCTGAGCAATGCGTGCATGAAAGTTGAACTGATAAAAGTGACCACAGGGAATCTGAGCAGGTGATTAATGGTCTGCTAATATACAAAATATCAGATATTAAATGTGTGGTGTTTTTGAAATACTTTTAATGGACCCAATTTACGAGCCTCCCTAGATTTTTTTGGCCTTACTTGTTTCCTGGCCCCTCGACTAGTTAGAAACCCCTTACCCCAGTGCCATTGCCTCCTTTTCAAATGTCAGCAGCTGACTCTGCCTCCCCTGGAGAGGCCAAGTTCAGCATGTCCTCCACTGTACCTACCATAGCGAGAGATGCAATAGCTGTAGAGTCCCAGGGTAACCCACAGACTCTCGGAGGCTGTGATTTCCTTTCCCCTGTATTTCCAGACTCAAAGTGTCATGCTGTGAAGCATGACATCTGGCTTCTTTAGTGTCTGTCCCAAGGGGCCAGGTACACAACCAGGAAGAGCATAGGAGTTAAAGTCTCAGAGGGAAAACTTTGACCAATCGAGAAAACCTATAAATTCCTTTTGTTCTCTTCCTCTTATGGTTGTTCTGAGGTGCTGTGGTTCTGTAGCAGATGCCTGGAGATCATCCTTTGAGAGTGAGCTTGTGGCTCTGTGTTCTGTTCTAAATCTGTGGAAACCAAGGCACTACCACCTAGTTTCTGCTTTTTTCCTTATTTCACTTCCCCTTTTCCTTTACTCTTTCTGCCCTGCAACTGTACCTCTACACCTCCCCCAAAATGTATTAGCACATACTTTTAATCTGGTTCCAAACACACAAACCAAGAAAGACTCCTCACTCAAAACCAAAACAAAAACAGAGCCTAGAGCCAAACCAGTACCCCTAGAATTTCAGTTTCAACTCAATATATGAATCCTCAAGTGGCAGATTTTCACTGTAAAACATTGGGGAGAATTTTTTTTTTTTTTTTAATAAAGCAAGGATAATCCTAAAATTGTTCTTTTTATTTTCTATCTAAACAAAGTCAATCCTATTAAAATCTAAATGGATGCTAAGGGGAAATCCCCAGGATGCTACTCAGAGTTTTCCTTTTGTTATGACTTCCTTCACAAATGGGCTCAGTGCCATGAGCACTGTAGAGAAGCACTGAATTGAAAAACGATGCAGAGGAGAATGTAGCTATTTTTCCTGAAGGAATTCATAACGTAAACTGGCATGATGCAAGTGATGTGAAACGTTCTTGTTTTTCAAAAAGAGAATTGACTTGTTATGTGGCTCTGGTCACATCTAGGCCAGCGGTTATGAGGCTGGAACTAGCTTTGAGTGTTACCGATGTGCAGGCTAGAGAATCTGACCTGAACACAAGTGAAGTTCTCACCATTGTCACAATTAGTGCTGATGGCTGCAGTCAATTTGGTCTGTAGCTATTAAGAGGGGTACAGTGTAGCTGTTCTGTGCTCTTTATTTTATGCTTGTAGAATGGCCTCAATTTTCTCTTCTGTCTGATTGGTCCTAGCGTCAAGATTTCTTTTTGCCATGTTCCATTACAGAGGCCGCCTCTTTTTGCCTTTCTCACCGACATCTGGAATCCAGCCAAAACGCACCAGAACAAGATGCTTCTAACATTTGAGCCCTTTTGTAAGGATGCTGATTGCAACTTGGGTAACTTCAGTTTAATCCAAGGTGGAAGATTTATGCTGCTTTTGGGGAAGAAAATCAATGTCTAAAAATAAAACTTAGGCATAAAAATAGGGCCAAGTACTCATTAACTGCTTCACTTAGCTGAATGCTGAAATTATTTCAACAGCGCTAAATCAAACGTTTGTGTAGAAGAGGTTGAGTATGTTTTTTTTATTCACGGTTTTTTTTTTTCATTCTTGGATGATAAATGGGTTACTGTAATTTGTCATTTTATTCAAAAGACATGAATTATATAGTTCTCAAGGGCCTAATTTTCGGCTTATACTCATGCTGACCCTTGAATTGGAACACTTGTGTTCACAAGGCTTTTGGAAGTATGTTTTGGGCTGTTATGGGAGAGGCTAGAGGGGCTAGCAGGACCAAGAACCAAAGTACAAAAGGCTAGAGAGGTTAGAGTTAAGAATTTGTATTTAAGTGTGATGGGAAACCAGTGAAGGGATTTAATTAGAAGGATACCTTTGAATGATTTATGTTTTAAAAATATGACTCTTGGCTGCTGTGTTGACAGTGGATTGTAAGGAGGCAAGAGTAGAAAAGGGGTAATCAGCCAGATATCTATTTTAGATATTCAGTGGCTTTGGAGCAGGATTGTAAGAGTAGAGTTGGAGATAAGTGTATAAGTAATGTAGTTTTGTCTAATCCAGTAGCAAAAAAAACCCCAAAAAACAAAAAACAAAATAACAAAAAACAAAACTGATGAATGGGTTAGATATGGGCATGAGGGAAAGAAAAAGTCAAAGTTGATTTCTAAGTTTTTGGCCTACACAACTGGGAGGATTTGTTATCAATTATTGAGTTAAAGACTGAAGGAGGAATAGGGTAATTTTTGTTGTATTGTTTAGGTTGGGACAGGGACAATGGTAAAGGGAATGAGGTGGAAACAAGGGCTTATGTTAATTCTGCGATGCCTATAAGGCATCTAAATGAACAGATCACATGGGCAGTTGAATATATGACCTTGACTCAGTATATAAGTTTGAGAATCCTTGATATACAGATGACATTCAGAGCCACGGAATAGAGGAATTCGCCTAAATAGGGCAAGCAGAGGAGGGGGTCCAGTGAAGGACTAAGGAAGAACAGCAGTGAGGAAGGAAAAACTAGGAGAATATGGTGATCCAGAAACTAAGAGAAGAATCTTCCATGAGGAAAGTAATAGCCAGTTATGTTGAATACAGCCGTGAGATTGAATAACATGAAGACCAATCATATCCACTGTTTTTGACAACATGGATGTTTTCATTGACACTGACAAGGGCAATTTATGACATGTCATGCAGATGGGCCCAGAGTGGATTGAGGGGAGACTGCAAAGGGGAAATGGGGTGGCTATTTAGACAATTAGTTCAAGAAATTAATAGAACTGAGAAATAGATAAATAGCTAATCAAGAGTCGAGGAGACTATTTTTTTTTTTTCACGTTCTTAAGATGGAACATTTTGTAATGTTTATACTCAGGATTGAATTAGAGAGAGAGAACCTGATAATATAGTAGACAAGGGATATAATTGAGGGATAAATTTCTAGAATGCAAAAAAAGATGTGGGATACTGAGCAATAATGAAAGATTTGGCCTTGGTTAAGAGGAGAAGGGGAGGCAGAAAGAGTGGGACACAGCTGTTAGTGGGGGTGGATGAGGGAGTATCCATAATTGTAACTAATTAAAGAAGCAAGAGCATCAGCTTAAAGGGAGATGGGAAAAGAGGATGTTGGAAGTTTCAAGGAAAGGTAGCAAATACTAGAATCATGGAGAGTGAGAAGGTGAACCTATCTTGGACAGTGAACATGAAATGCCTTAAATTTACGTAAAACCAGGCAGAGTTAATTTTTGCTTGGAAAGAGACAGATTAAATCTTAATTTTTTAAAAGTCTATAAAAGTCAAAAGTATTTACATATCTACCCCTATGTTCACAAATAAGCTCAATGATTACTTGAAACCTTACTATTCAGAGATAATCATTGTGAAGTCTTTTCATGTATTATATATACAAATACATCTATAGGAAGAAATATAAAGGTCTTCATTTCATTACTAATACTATTTTACAAGTTTTTACTTTGGCAAGCATTTTAGCTCTTGCTCTGGGAAAGATGGAAGCTATTGGAGAGATAACTTTGTCATATTGCAAATGTTTTCCCTATTTATTTGTATTTTAATGTTTTTATTGCTTTTCCAATTTTTATATAGATGTATCTATAGCAGAAAATGTACAGTCATGTTTAATAGGTGCTCTCCCAAGGATGTATATTTAATTATTTTCCCCTAGTATTTAAAATATAAAATTGAAACTATAAATTATTAATCTAACAGGTTTTAATTTGATAAAATGCAATGAAGGAATCTAATTTTATTTTTTAGGATAGCTTTAATCATTCTTAAATCTCATACCCTGTAACATTTAAAATACAATCATGTGATGGTAGAGCTCCCAAATAACTTCTTTAAGAATTTTTTTCAGAAGTTTTGAAACTTCTGTATGTTATTCTTTAAACAAATTTTTTAAGAGTAAAAATGATTTGTAATCCCATCACCAGAAAATCAGTTGTACTTTACCTACTCGAAATTATGTTGTATGCATACATTTCACAATCTGTATTTTTTTACTTTTTAAATTTTTTGAAACTATTAACCATGATTTTAATGGCTGCCTTATGATTTGCACAATTATTGGACATTTAATATGTTCACAGGTTTTGTTTTGTTTTTTTATGTGTAATTATAAGTAACACCACAGTTAACATCATTGGCATTTAATATTTCATCGAATTTGTTTTTAGTATATTTACTATAAAGGCAGTACACATTCATTGTAGAGAGCTTTAAAAGTAACAGACAAAAACCATTATCCAGAGAACCACCACTGAACGTATACTAAATCTTTATTCTTTCAACAGCCATTTTTCAGAACCTGCTATCTACTTGGCACTGCATTAGATATGAAACCTGCTCTTCAGAGTTAACATTTTAGTGTATTTTTAGGGATACGTCAGTCTCCTATGTGCAGAAATGTGTGTGCTTTTCAAAAGGGACTATGCTACTTAAAAGTTTCATTATAATCTGATTTCCTCCTTTTATAACAATAAGAACCTCCTTCCATGCTATGGCACTTTCTTTTACAATATCATCTTAATGGCTGCAGGAGAATTATTTGTGTGGAAGTACCATAGTTTATTGAACTAATCCACTATAGTCAGACACTTTAATTCTCCCAATTCTGTTTGCACTTAAAATGTATAACATGCATATTTTGCTTCTCTTTGATGGTGTAACTAACATGACCTCCAGAAGATATGAAGGCAGTGCTGTCTTTCCTCCTCATTCTTATAACATTTCTAAGGGGATCTCAAGGTAAGTTTCTTTATATTACACCCAAGTGTTAGTTATTTGTATCATTTGATAGGAACATGAGCACACAATGCAAGGTGGCTGTTTCCTCTATAGTCATAACATTGTGAACTTTTCTGAAAGATCAGTTAGTGAAAAACAGGGAACAGACTGGAAGTCTACATGAAGATTAAAAAATTATATTTTCTCTTTTCTACTCTGATTAAGGCTCCTTCTAATCTGTTATCTGCTACCAGATATAAAATCACTAGAAAGGCAAGTTTGATTAATTGGTTGATTTTTTAAAGTGTAAGCTTGGTATTTACTCAACACTTGACAGAAGGCATTATCAGCTTTGCTAGATCCTGTGATAGACATTTTTAATTAACTGATAAAAGATTAGAGGTGTTTAGCAGAGCAATTAGGGAGGTCAACAAAACCACTCCTTTTCTAGCCCACCTTTCCATGTCTTTCAGCATAATACCATCCATGTCCCTCTAGCACTATATACAGAAGTAAATTAAGTCCTTCTGAGGGAAAGAAGTAGGACTTGGCAGAGGGGAAAAACCCCAGAGGAGGAGGCAAAGGAAAAAGACTTTGTGACAGGGCCACGTGAGCACCCAATTCTCTCATCTTGGGTGGCCTTGGCCAAGGTCTAAAGGAGTTTACTATATCATCTACAAGATAAGCTCCTTTCTAGTCCTAATATAGAATTCATAGGGCATACAATCTACTTAAAATGTTTTGTGAAATGGTCAAAGAAACCGGATGCTGGCTTCAATGATTATGAAATGGCCAAGCATATTTTCTTTGCAGAAACCTTGATCATGAAATCCATTTGCTTTTAAAAATCAACTTCTGAAGTAGACAATAATACACGTATGTATGTCAGGAGGATTGGACTTCCACATTTATATCCAAAATAATATTTCTTAACTAGTTTTCATTGACTCATAGGATATCCTGAGAATTGTCTTAAAGCCAAAATAAATGAGTCACTTATTTCTCCTTTTGGACTGCTCTCGTTTGTGTGCTCCCTCACTTGAGACTGTCTGAATATTTCTAACAGATTTCTGAACCTAGGATTGTTTTCTGCATGCTCCAAATATTTCCTAGCCCAACTAAGTTAAGTTTGTTCTATTCTTTAAGGGCCTGTTGGCTTTAGCTAGCTGGATAAACTCATTTGTTATTGTTATAGTAGGTGTTAAAGGTGAATGTGTTCAGGGAATAAAAATCAACTGGAGTCTTTTATTACATGATATACATAATTTCCAGTAACTAGCAGGCCAGGATCAGAGGAAAGATGAGACTATTGATCATGTGGGGAGCAATGTAGTGTTTCTATGCTTTAAGCTATTGCTAATTCTCATAGTTACAATGAGTCAAACAGATATTCAATTAAAATTGCAGAAACTCAAATAGAGAGCTTCATGGCTTGTTTCTAGTAGACTAGCAAGTGTTCTTGATGATGTGGTCTGTAATGATAGTTCTTCTAGATAGTCCTAATATCTTTGATAGCATCCATCATTAATTCTCTTCAGAACTGCTTAATTTTGTATACATTCTTTTCAGGTTTTTTCAGTCATAGTAGTTCTCTGAATGAGAAAATAGTCATTGGAGAACTTAATGAAGATGTAATTCTCCCTTGCTCATTTGAAAGTGGGCCCAACATTGTAATTCACTGGAAGAATCAAGATTACAATGTTCACACATACTACAAAGACAGTGACCATTTGGAAAAGCAAGATCCCAGGTACACAAACAGGACATCCCTCTTCCACGGGGAAATTCACAATGGGAATGCCTCCCTATCCTTCAGAAGATTAAGCCTTCCGGATGAAGGAAGTTACATGTGCTATGTGGCAACAACATCTATAAAAATCATAAGCAAAGTGGTACTAAAGGTGGGAGGTAAGTATGCATAACAATGACATCATTGTTTGATAAAACATAATATCATTCCATGTTTTCCGAAGTGTCTTTTTCTTAATTTGTTATGCTATGGGATTCCTTCCAAGTCAATACATACAAATCTACCTCATTTTTAACGAATATTATCTCATAGTATAGACATGCTATGATTGATACACCCCTTACCCCATAAGTAAATATTCAAGCATTTCCAGTGTTTTATGTTATAAAAAAGTTGTGATGAACATCCTTACACTTAATATAGGGAAATAAGTGATCAGAAAGAAAAGTATTGGAAGATTTTAATACATTACTTTTATCAGTAGTATAAGAGTATCCATTTTCCCCTTAGTCTTATCAGCATTCATTATTAATCTCAAAATTTCCTGCCAGTATGACAGTTTAAAAATATTGAATTATTAATTACATTTTTCTGTTTTCTAAATGAACACAATTTTAATATATATAGTTGACTCTTGAACAACACAGGGGTTAGGCGTACCGATCGCCCATGCTGTTGAAACTCTGCCCAAAACTTAAGTCAGCCCCCTGCATATGTGGATTCCCAACACCCAGATGACCCTCGAACAGCATGGATTTGAACTACACAGGGCAATTGAAAAATATCCTCATATGAGTGGACCCACACAGTTCAAACTCACGTTGTTCAAGAGTCAACTGTACTTATCTCCTGTCCATATTAACTTTACTTATCTGTTCATTTATTTATCAGGGGTGGGGGGAGGCATTTTCTAATGGGCTGTTTTATTCTGCACTCATTCCTTCTCCCTCTGTCCCATTTAGCTGCTTCAGACCTTGACTCAGAAATCTAAGAATTATGTGTCAGTACCCAAAGAGTCTAGACTGCTGCAAGAGCTCTAGTTTATAGACTTCAACACCTATGTTTGGGTTGCTCAGCTAAGCCATTAGAGTCCTTCTTAGAATTCCTTCTAGATAATTGAGGTTGCTAGTTGCTGTGTATCCATGAATGTTCTTTTTTCCCCTTGTAGATAACGATGCTATAGTTTAAGGTTTTACAGTTTTTGTTTGTATTTCCTTTCAGTAACTGCCAAGTTTTTCTCATAAAGCTTAGCTTTTCATTTCATGGGTATTATAATAAATGTTCTGCACAGATGGCTTCAAAAGAAGCTAATGATGACAGTTCCTCTTGTGCCTTTTTTTCTCTTCCATAGCTTTTGTCACACCTGAGATCAAGTATGAAAAGAGGAACACACACAACTTCTTAATATGTGGCGTGTTACATGTTTTTCCTTATCCAGTCATCACATGGCAAGTGGACAATACACCTATCTCTGAAAGCAATATAGAAGAAATCAGAGATTTTGGTTCTTTTTGCATTAAAAGTAGAGTAAATATTACAGGATCAAATGCAACTTATGAATGTACTATTGAAAATTCATTGCTGAAGCAAACATGGTCAGGGAGATGGACGATGAAAGGTAGGCTCCATGGGGCTTTCTGTGTACATGTACTATGTCAGAGGGTGGGAGGGAACAGGGATTGATTTACAGGGAAAGAAAGGAACATAAAATAAAGGAAATAAATATAACTGCAACAGTTAGAAGACTGGGACTGGAGTCCCAGGTCTAACGTTTACTGACTGTATTACCTTAAGCAATCGTTTTTACTTCTGAGCATGAGTTCTTCATTGATAAAATGTAAGTAATCCTTACCTTGCCAGTTGTTTGAATTGAAGGAAAATATTTTTGAAATGGAGAGTAGCAAATCTATTCATTAGTTTTACTGTATTTCTCTATGGTTCATCCTCTAAAGAGTGTTTTCTACTTGCATTGCACTTTAAAAGATCAGAGGAGAAGGAACGAGTGTTTGTGTATTATCAGATCACCACCTCTGATTCTTGGCAATCTTGCCCCTAAACAAAATTAATTCGTATCATTGTGTCTCTTTAGTCTCTTCACGTAGTATTTGCCTATTCTTCTTTATCAGAACTTCTATCATTGCATGAGCAGTTTTTAACATTCTTTTCTCTCATTTGTTTCAACAAGCCCAAAATCTGTTCAACCTCTATAAGCTACCATTTAAGAAAAGATTAAGGGGAAGAAATATTTATTTGACACTGCTTATCTAATAGCAAGGAAAATTGTTTTACATGTCATTAGGAGCAAAGCAGAATTTTTCTGTAAGTCTCCATTATATAGGGAAAGTGGAGATTAACTATTCTTTTTGGCTTTTTCTTCTTCTGAGTTTCATATTCTCAAAATGCTCACTAAGAAGACACTAAAAATATAAGTGATTCACCATCTTTATATGATTTGAGTGCTAAAGACATGGGTACCCAATGTTCACTTTTCATCAGCCAAGCAGCAATGGAAACATGGGCAATGATTAAAAATGTTAAAATTAAATCGTAAATATTTTCTATGGAAAATTGTATTTTCTCATGTTTATTCAGAACTGAGTATCCTGAAGCACCAACAGGTCCTTAGGCTCCATGCTATTTTGTCTTGAAGCTCTGTTATGTACCAAGCGTTGTCACTCTCAGACCGTGAACTTAAGAATGTGACTCCTATTTCTGGATCCACAGCATCTAGTGCAAACATGGAAAAATAAAACTAAACCAGGAAGGTAGCATACAAAGGGAGCGATTAATTCTGTTTGCTGTCATTGGGTATGAATGAGGTCGTTACAGAATATATGCTTAAGGAAGTTGCATAAGGGCAGAATTTTAAGAGTAGTAGGAAGTTCCAGGACAACGTAGGCATTCCAGGTAAAAAAACACATGTGTGTTTTCCCTTGCTCATTTGAGAGTGGGCCCAACATCGTAATTCACTGGATTTATGGAAGTTTAAGTGGTTGAGGGCAAAGCTTAAATATCAAAAGGTAAGCCTGAAGAGGAATGCAAAAAACAGATGAAAGGCCTTCTACCTCTTGTTAAGGAGGATTGGTGGAAGCATCAGAGAGATCCTGGTCTTGCATTTTAGATAGCCTGCTTTGGCATCACTCTCTTGCAGGTGGACTGGAAAGCGAGTGAATCTAGAGCCAGAGAGAATAATCCATGGTAGTCCACAGAGGTCAGCCTACAGAAGTACGGAACAGGAAGGACGAGATGCAGCTGATCTGGAGGAGCAGGCCAAGAATACGCAGCAGAGTACCTGTTCTAAAAGAGCTCAGTTCAGTGGAGGGTTACCTGCACATAGTTGGAAATGTCTTCTTATGTGCAGGAAAGAGACTTTGCAGAAGGAAAAATTAAGAAGCGGTTGAGACCATAAAAGTAACAGACTACTAGGGAGCAGATAGAGTGACAAGTGTGGAGTCCTAGGAAACACCAGCACTTGAGAGGTCAATAGAAGAACAGTGAGTTTAAAAGGTTGGTACCTGGTAGCAATGTGAATATTGGGTGCCCATGCTTGAGTGCTCACTGTCAGGTTGTAGGAGTTAAAACCCAGGTGTGTCACCTCTCCCTAGCTTGCTCAAGCTTTGGCCTCCTTGAAGGCCTAAATTTGGTGGGAGCTTTTAAGAAAGTTCACAGCACAAATATCTGATGGCTCTTTAAGAAGGTATTTTCAAAAGTATTTCTAAAAACTTAAAAAATTCATTTGAAAATTTTATTTTCATTGATGTTTCCTTTTCTATCCTGTTCTTAGATGGCCTTCATAAAATGCAAAGGGAAAACGTTTTACTCTCATGCGAACTTGCCAACTACCTTTTTCTACCAAATCAAGACTTCGTAGTCACTTGGTCCAGAATGAAAAGTGAGACTTTCTCTGTCCTGGCTTACTTTCTGAGTTCCTCACAAAATGCAGTTATCAATGAACCCCGACTTCTATGGAGCAAAGAACTAATAAACCAAAGTGACTTCTCTTTGACCTTGAGGGACCTTAGTCCTTTAGACAGTGGGGAATACTTATGCAATATTTCTTCAAGCAAATATACTTCTCTCACCTTTCAAACAGTGCATGTAGGTAAGTTACAAGTAGGGTTGGATAATGGGTTTTGGCTATAGCAGTAGAGCTGTAAATATTAAACAGGGAAACCAGGTTGGCATTTAAAAAATACCTTTGATTAGTATTTCTGAAAATGTTATTTACAGGGATACTTCTGGTCAAGATGGTAGACACCACACACAAGTCCTGCATTGAGGAAAAAAGAAAATTCATAAAATTTTCTTTTCAGGGCTTCAGAAATGAAATGGGAACTTACATTTTTTGTGACTTTGGGCTGAGCACCTTCAATTCCTGGCTCACCCCTGTGACTAATATGTACCTTAGGGCCTAAGGTTTGAGGAGTTGAGGCACAGTAGGAAGTTAGAATTGGGACTCTGCTGGATGCTGGGGAAGCATGATCTGCGAATCTGGTGGAATCAGCAAAGGACATTGAAAACACTAAGTATATGCCTGATGTAGCTCATTTCTTTTACTTCTATTGATAGTTAAATGTCAAAACTGATTTAAAATAGTTCTAGAAGTCTATGGTCGTGCTACCCTGAACAAGCCCGATCCCATCTGATCTCGGAAGCTAAGCAGGGTCAGGCCTGGTTAGTACTTAGATGGGAGGCTACCTAGGAAGACCAGGTGCTGTAGGCATAAAAAAAAAAAAAAATAAGGGATTGTAAACTGACAAGTTCCTTTCAATCTGTAAGGTCAACCAAGTGTTGCCACGCCTAAAAAAATTAAAAAATAAATACGTATATACATACATACATAAAATAGTTCTAAACTCTACCCATAGAGTCATAGAATGTGTACTCATGAAGTTGACTTTCTAGGTGGGTTGGTTGATCCCCTTATCCTTAAACTAGCAACTTGACATCATGGGAGACCATGACACCTCTCTTTTTATTCATTAAAGATATTTGAGTCAGTGTAACATGTTTTGGAAAAACTATCATTCTAGTTGTAAAAATTAGGAATAACAGATTTGGAGGTTTGGTGACGCTGTGTGGTAAGAATTGGGAATAAGAATGCAGAGTTTTCTTTAAGTCGAGTGGTTTTCTAGACACCGAGAAAGAACACTTCCTTTATAGAGTTGACACTTTGAAAGTACCAAAAACTAGGATGTATTTGAAGCTCCTATTGGTTAATATTCCTCCAACATAGGAGTGTCAGTTTATGTAAAATGCAGTTAAGCGTACATCCTGTTTTTTAAATGTTGGATTCATTTTGGAGTGTAGAAAAATAATCAGGAAGAAGTGGTCTGAAGACTACATATAGCTCATCTTTCTAAGCAGAGATCTAATTTTCAGTTTGCACAAAAGGAAGTATCAGGACTAATTTATCTCTGACAAAGAAAAGCGTTTCAGAATCTCTCATTCCTAAGCAATCCCTGGCCAGTTGAGACTAGAGGAGGATCTGCTCAAACTTCCTCCAGGAAAAAGTCTGTAGCAGGAGCTGCCCCCGCAGGGAGGAGAACAGGGCAAATAGTCCTGGTTCCTCACAAAATGCTACTCTTTCAAGGAAACCTGGTTTTCTATTCTGAATTGCAATTTTCTACTTGTAGCCTTGTCCACGAGATACTTGAACATTTGAAAAGGAGGCCCAGGTAGGGGTGCTTATGATTCCTAGAGTCTAGATCTGCTCGATAAAGGTTGTGCCAAATTGAATGGAATTAAATCTTGCTAAGTTTTGCTGCTAAATCAATATGAGACCTTGAGCAAATCTCTTTACAGGTGGGAGAACTGAAGGTCATAGATAAAGAAGCAGCTATATTTTGCAGGATTTTCTTAGGGAGGAAAAATATGCATATGAAAACACTTTAGAAAGTCAACTTAACATTTCTAAATTGCTCCTTCTTTACATGGGTATAGAATTCAGATATATGGAGAGGTTAATGTTTTATTGGTTGTAAAATATTTTTAAGAGTATGTTCTTAAAAATTGAGCTGTTCTTAAAGAATAACCATAAACATTTTTTCCCTTGAATTAGGCTTTGTGCTCTAACACTTGCTCCCCACTCTTTGGTAGAATATAGATCACAAGATTAGCAAGTTATGATTTTGGTACTCACCGTCTCCAAGTTTCTGCCTTTTGGGGGTCCTCATTTCTTTTAATACTAATTATGATTCTAGTTCCAACCAAGATTCTGGGAAATGTTCAGGTTTCTCCAGTTATTCCTGAGGAGTTCCGAGCACTATTATCCCTGTAATTGCCTGCACCTCTCACTCAAGACCATGGCTCTTACTTAGGTCTTCTCATCACCTCTGCACTTGTCGTCACTATTTCTCTAGGACCCTGACTTCTCCAAGCCAGGAGTGAACTGCACCCTCCCTTCATCCCCCAAGGAGAACGCTGGACTGAGTCTAGTTTATAGTCATAGTTATTCCTTTGTAAAAGTGTATTCATTCTCTTTAATACAATATATAACAAGGGAAACTTAAAATGTGTAATAGACCCATTGCCTCTCAGATTTTCAGATCTTTTCCTCTTCCGACTCCCACCCCGACTAAGCCCAAAATTGGTTAATATAATAGCTTTTGCAGGTTTCCCACAATAGAGACATTGAGACTGGAAATATTATTTATGCTCATGAGAAATGCTGTGATCCAGACAGGGCTCTTTAATGGGTCTTTTCATTATGAAAAATGTTTTCACTAATATGATATTTGCCCGCCTCCCAGAAGGCAGAAACAACTAGTTTTTTAAAATAGTAAACATACTCTACCCACCCACACACACGCTTTTTTTTTTTTTTGGTAATTTTTCTTCCAGCTTACTATGTTTTGTTTTATTTTGTTTTTACTATTATTTAGAACCAAGTCAAAGCATAGCTCTCTGGACTATTCTACTTTCGGTGATTTTGATGCTTTTGGTTTTGGTAATGACATTTTACAGAGTCAAATCAAGGAGACGCAGCTACCTCATCACAGGTAATGCCTCATGGAAGATTTGGGTTCTATCCCTGGGTGTTCAAGTAGAGGGGTATCACAGACAACATGCAGCTATATACCTACCCTGCTTCTAGGCATGTAAACAGATCTGAATTTTCTGGAGAGTCATTTGTAAAATTTATCAGAAATCTTTTTTAAATGCTCCCACATTTCCACCTAACTATTCTACTTCTAGGAATTTATTCTGAGTTAAACACACACCAAGTAATGGCAATGTACTGCAATGCGTGTGCTTATATATAACTTGGTGTGGTCAGACACACACCAAGTTATATATAAGCACACGCATTGCAGTACATTGCCATTACTTCCGGTTATATAGATTCCATGGTCAGACACACACCAAGTTATATATAAGCACATGCATTGCAGTACATTGCCATTACTTCCCATTTTCCTAATATTTCAATAAATAATTAGCGGTTGAGTAAATTAACTGGATATCACATGTTACTTAAGTTTTGTTTTTACTAAAAAAGAGAAAAATCCGGCAGTACAATAATATCTAGGATGATTCCAACTATCTTGCATTAAAAAAAAAAAAAAAAAAAGCTAAAAAGAAATAAGCCAAAGCTTTAAAAATGGTTGCCTTTGGAGAGAGATTGGCTCCTCTCTACCACTCACCTTCCCAGGTACTTCTATTATTTGTGGACTTCCTTAAGTCGCTGGGCTCTGTTTTCTCTTTTTTCGACCTTTGTCTATGGTTGCTACTGCTCAAAATAGCATTGTCCTTCATGGGCAATTTTATTTTAATCCTTTAAATTTTTTTAAAAAACTTTTCTAAGTTTTCTTCAACAAACCTGTTATTTAAAACAACACATTAGAACGCCATGGTCACACTACTTCTTAAAATACTTTACTTTTATGAATAGGATTAAATCTAGGAAAAAAACGTATTCCCACATTTTACAGGTGAGATAACTAGAATGCAAGAAGTTAACCCAAATGCTAAGTAGGTGTGTGAAACAGACATACATATGCCACTTAAGATGATCCAACTAACTCATGGCAGAGGCAGATCTAGGCCCCAAGAAGCTCTCCCTTTTTTCATAATCCCTACGAGAAGTCTCTGAATGTCTGGGAGGTTGAAATAGATTCCATATCTCTTCTTCTCATTGATATCTGCCAGTTGCCTCTGCTAAAGTTAGAAGATTTAGTCATAGAAGAAACCATTATTCAAAGTAAGATTTCAGGGGTGATAGTGCGCAAGAGTTTTACCAGTTTTAGCCCTGTGATTGTACTAATAGGCACACTAGTCTTCTTACCATTATTCCTGTCCCTTAGCCAGAAATAGAAAAAGATGGAAGGTCACAAGAAGTCTAATTTGTCACCCAAATGCAACCCCTAACCTACTATAATGATACTTGTGATTGGATTAGGTTCAAATTACATACCGCTCAAGAATAACAGATTAATTTCTACACTGGAAGTGTGCATAGGTCAGGTCCTAACAAAAAATGCCTGGCACATTCAAAATTGTACAAAGGGGTATACAGAAGATAGTGCATTCCACCCCACACACCCAGAGCTGGGAGCAGCTGAATAATAAAACTGAACTTGAAGGGACAAGAAGAGGGAGCAGATTTCAAAACCTGGAAGGAGAGAGTCCCATAAAATCAGCTGTCTTGTAAGGAGAGTGACCTTCACTCAACTAGACCAAGGTGACCTTACAGGGAAGGAGCAGGACAAATAACTGATTTTGCTTTTCCCTCCCTGTGATCTCCACTTCCAAGCCAGAGAGAATTGATGACCTGCATATGGAACCCATCCAGGTCAGCTGCCCATGGCAGAGAGCAGCATGGGTTCTGATTTTGGAGTAGCAGTCAGGAGATATCAACAAAAACAATGTCAGGGTATTGACCAATTTTTAAAAAGTGTTCTACAGTTATGTAGTTAGATGGGCTGAAAATATATTTCAGGCTGTTCTACTAAAAGCCACAAACCTCACCTCCAGGTCCCTGGTTGTACTTTCATATGATTATGATTCAAATGTTTTCCTTTTCTATTCTGTTTTACAATACCCTTAGTCTAGGATACGTATAAATTATTCTAGATTTTAGCAAGGCCCAGAAGAAAGGCCTTTCTTTAGAAATGACATTTTACCCCTTTTTCCTTAACCACCATTCTCAACTTCACCATCACCTCCTTGCCTGTTATTTTCCATTAACAGTAGGAATTAGGCCAACAATCCTAAAGAGCCAGGAATTCCTGGCCTGGTCGAATTGCTTTTATCTCCACTTTGGAGCACCTGAATCAGTCATAAGAATGTACTGCTGTTTGTTTCTGATGAGGTATTTGTACACTGAATGCATTTTTAATGCTGTTTGTGGGAAGAAAGATATGACAAGGGGGTGTAACTAGGGTTATTCTAATAACAATTACAGGCACACTCTGTTTTATTGTGCTTTGCAGATATTGTTTTTCACAAATCAAAGGTTTGTGGAAACCCGTATCAAGCAAGTCTATCGGCAACATTTTTCCAACAGCATTTGCTTACTTCATGCATCACATTTTTAGTAATTCTTCCACTCTTTCAAACTTTTTCATCATTACATTTGTTATGATGATCAATGATTAGCAATCTTTGATGTTACTAGGACAAGACCCTCCACCAGCATAAAGGTTATAACTCGCTTGAAAGCCATGAAACTTTTTTAGAGTATAATATTTTTTAGACATAATGCTATTGCACACTTAATAGACTACAGTATAGTGTAAACATAACTTTTATATGCACTAGGAAACCCAAAAGTTTGTGTGACTCACTTTACTGCAATATTCACTTTATTATGGTGGTCTGGAACAGAACCTGCCATATCTCTGAGGTTCGCCTAAATACTGAGGAAGGAAGAAGGGAGAATTTGAGTGTTTGTGAAGAGATTTTTAAGTTTGTTCTCTTTTTTCCCTGTGGAAAGGAGTACTGTTTCTACTGATGGGAGTGCTGATAATGAAGAAAACATAGTAAGACATTTCTTTTATCAAACCATTTATAGTGTAAGAATGCTACTGTAAAGAGGTAATTGAAGTTTTGACTGATTCACATATTGTCATTCAAGACTTTTGTAGAGGAAAAAAGACAGGAAGGATTGCAGGATAATATAACAGGAAAAAAATGCAGTTAGGCTTTTCCCAATGTCTATAATTAAACGAGCTCTACTTGCTTAAATACGCAGTTGCTCTTCTTGTCGCCCATTGTTATTTGTAGAGCTCTCGAATGGCGCTATGGGTATGATGTATAGAAGTGGAAGGATATAATAAAGTCTAGAAAAGCAGACTGCATTTTCTGCCCAGACTCAGACTGCTGACCTTTCATACTTTTTAAGGCACTTCTAGGTTCCTTGAGGACTGAAAATTCACTTACGAATTATAGTTTGTATATTTCCTTTTTGTTGTATACTATTTATAAGTTTCGTTAATCAGAATATAAATGAGAACCAAGAGTGGGGTAAACTTATTTTTCCACTTGTTAAAAACTTAGGAACATCTAGCAGGGAGTTTAAAGTTGAATAAGACTCAGACTTCGTAACTACTTTTATAACTGTAATAGATCTGACTGTTGATGCAACAATAGCTTAAAGCTACCCCCTCCCAAACACCAAAACACTACCATCATCAAACACTTAAAAAAAATAGACCCTAAATGACTGTTGTTCATATCAGAAAAACCATTTTTATTTATTTTTTGGTTCTAGGTTCTTTCAGAAAAGCTAGCCAGTACAGAAAATAACGACAATCATGCTTATGATCTGCTGTCACAGTCCAAACATCCAGTGATTTCATCTCCCCTTCCTTCACTGGGATTCCAGCACTGGCTTGCCAGGACCAGACAATTCTACCATTGCAAAGACTTGTAAACATGCTCTTTTCCAGTATCGCGTTCACTTTTGTGGCCTATGCAATATTTACTGATCCCCTACCTGCATCAAATGCCTGGATGCCAAGGATTCCTATTCACCTTAGAAGAGAACCGTCATTCATTTACGTTGTTGCTGCAATCAGCTGGGGAGGCTACCGTGAAGTTTTCACTATGAACTACTTCAAAATCTGATCAATAATGGGTGAGAGAGCAGGTAGGAGAAGCCATGTTAGAGAAAAGGTGAAAAACCAGAGCCTGGAAACCAAGATAGTTGATTGCTAAGGTATTAGATGCCAATTTTACATGAATGGTCACATCAGTTTATCCAATTAGATTTAGTACGCTGAGTCTTAGTACCCCAAAGAAGAAGAATGTCAGTATCTCCAGGACCGTCTAGGACAAAAGGCCCTATCAACCCAAGAACTGACATCTGTGGAGTTGGGTTATACTTTCCACGACCAGGTTTGCATAGCTGAGTGACCCTACCTCTGAAGATAATCTGATTCACTCTTCTGACTTGATCTATATCCTTTAATTTTAATCAATTTATAAGAAAGAAAAGGTAATTTTTGTGACTTAGCCAAAATTTGATCCTATAGTTTACAGGAGAAAACCAACTCTAAATTACGTGTTAATGCCACCTGGTCCGGTTTTCTCTATCAGCTGGCCTTAACTTCACAGTCACATATTTTTGTTGACTCTTATTTGCTACAATGTTGTGACAGGTTTTCATAAACTGTAAAGTATTAAGGATGCCATTACAAAGAAAACCTTTACAAAAGATCATAGGACACTTTATGAGGAGAAAATGCTCAGAATTTCTGTGATCCTCTTACAATGATGATGAGAACAAATTATAGATGGCAGACAAGGAATAACTTGGGTCCTTCAACACTGCTGAGCCCCTGAATTAGGAGTCGGGGTTGGATCAGAGAGGCAGACTGCTAAGAATGACGGAAAATAAGGATTTACCATAGGAATTTAACCTCACACCATTGTGGGAACTGGTGACGTCTGTGCCAGGCTGTCTCCTCTGCATCTGGTGCTAGACTTAAAGTCACTCCAGGTTGGCTGTGCCAGCGGTCAAGGAGGAGGGTTAGACATGGAGTGAGGATGAACTAGAATCTTGTCTTGGGGCCTCTAAAGTCCATGCCGTGGGTGACCTGCAAGGTAAGCTGGTGCCCACTGCCATGTAGCCACACACATGCCTGGCCAAGACTCTGAGGCCGAAGATGGAAACTGACTGAGACTGGAGGAGCTGCTGTTGATCTCTACTAGCTAATGTTTTTGGCCTGGGCACTGACCTTTTGAGCATAAAATAAGCAGCTGCCCCTCTCTCTCAAACCTGGTGCAACTTTCTCTTCTGATCCTCTCTAGTCCAGAACCACACAGAAAGGAATTCTGAGAAACACACCTCCAGCTTAGGGAAACTGGCACAATACCACCCATCCCTGACTGAATGTCTTGTGTGAGAATTTGCTTCAGCGTTTAAAGTCTGCACCAGCATGTAGCCTACATTTGTGTCAATTAGGACGGTTTTATCCACAAAGTGCCTAACCATGATTATATGTAAATCACGGTGCTAAGTTTATCAATTCCCACTATTAGTGGTGAAAAATATAGACTTATAGATTAGAGATGAGTCAAGCAAAGTTTATAACTTCAGTAATAACCATTTACCAACATCCTCTAGTTTTCATGGACAATAACTTGTCTAAGGATATATTCTATGAATATTACTTATTAAGGGGCAATATGGACAAAGAACAAGTATGAATTCATTTGTTAACTTTTAAAAAGTATTGCATCTGTTTAATCTTTCATGTGAAATGTTATATTTGAAGATCAAGAAATCTCCATTAATTTTAGAAGCAATTATTACATTTTTCTAATTACCTTGTTTAAACTGCTTTTCACACTACATAAACAATGTTGGGTTTTTTTTGTTGTTGTTGTTGTTGTTTTTCTTGTTTCAAATGCAACTTAACTTTCTGGCCATAAAATAAAACAGTCCTTGTACTTCCCCAGCCACTGTCCTTCAGAAGCAAGGACTGCTTATTCTTCACAAACCTGAAAAACAGAATATCAGTGTATCCTGTGAGATTCTTGAGACTTTCATCAGTGGAACACATGCCCAGAACCAAGCCAGTCCTCTCCAGAGGTAAGCAGGCCTTAGCCAACTCTTTACTAGCTTCAAAGGGAGGCAGGGAATTGGGGCATTATAGAAAGTAGACACACATTGGTAATTCACCCCAGAGGTGTGCTTGGTCACTCTCAATTTGCCACCAGCCTTCCCTTGCCAGGGAAGGCAGCACCTTCTCCACCAGCTTCTGTAGCCACATCACCAGTTTGTGCCACAGCCCTGACACACAATTCTATCAGAAAACCTTTTTCTCTGCTTTATGACAGTTGAGAGATTTTCAGGCTTTCCTTCTGTGAATGGGAAACAATTAGTCATTGCACTGCCAAGGACGCTTTTCTATTCATCCCTGGCCTCTCAAGCAATTTCTGCTTTGCTCATTTTATTCTTTGTTGGAAACAACTGTGACCAAGTCTAATACTTTACATCTGTTTTGGAGACCCTTCAACTTCTTGCAGCTGAGTGTGATTGCAGCACATGAGACATTCCCCTAACAGTCCATTAAATGGGGTTGCTGGGCAGGCTGTGCACAGAAGACCCCAAATCCAATGCCATAACCTTCACAAGTTGATGCCAGAGTTCAAACCACTTAACTGGACCTCTCCATGTAAGTCTTATCCCTGAGACAGCTTTGTAGGCATCAGTAAGAAATCTCTGGAGTTTGCCAATGACTTATGTTTCTCATATTTAGCTCTAAATATATTCACCATACCAACTTTTAGTCTCTCCTTCAAAAGAGATCCTTTTGACCTCACTGAAGGTAGTGTTTACTACTGGCAACTCTCTCTACTCATTTTGCAGGGTTATGAGTAATTCATTTATAATAAATAAGAGGACCAGCCATATACTAAATTTTTTTTAAAACCGATGATGTCTACCTGTGCTAGGCACTGTGCTAAGTGCTTTATAGACATTCTATAAAGGGTATTCAATCTCCTTTGGTTAGCTTCTCCTAAAGTCAGATCTCATTTAAAAACTGTTCCTGGGAAAATCTCAATAGGAATCTAAGGCTACCCTGACTGCTATAGTCTGAATATTTGTGCCCCGCCCGCCCCCGCAATAAAAAAAAATCATATGCTGAAATCCTAATACCCACGGTGATGGTATTAGGTGGGACCTTTAGGAAGTGATTAGGTCATGAGGTGGGAGTCCTAATGAACGTTATCAGTGCCCTCATTTAAAAAAGACCCCAGAAAGCTTCTCCCTTTTCTACCATGTGACATTACAGTGAGAATAGGGCCATCTATGAGGAAGTGACCCTCACCAGATATTGAATCTACCAGGACCATGATCCTGGACTTCCTAGCCTTGGAACTGTGACAAAGGTTTGTTTGTAAGACACCCAGTCTCTGGTGTTCTGTTATAGGCAGCCTGAATAGACTAAGACACTGACCCTGCCAAGCCTGCAGTTTGGTGTTCTTTGTCCCTCTGCCACTTTGCCAGGAAAATTAGGGCAGCAACCTCTAATTTTGGAGCAGAACAGCAATTTCATGGATCACAGAAATGTACAAAGTTCCTTCCTCTCTGTTTTAGGGCAGAAAACTAGAAAGCAGGACTCTTGCGTTTGTTCTCCACTGCCTCAGTTTTAAACCTGTGCCCCCAGGTCTCCATGTTGACATCGTACAAAATCACATACTTGTCTATCACAGAAACACTCCACTTAGAATTTCAAGCAGATCCATCTGTGCTTTTAAAATCATCTTTGCTCCCTGGGCTCCTGACTATTCTATATAAATAAATCTAAGCCCTGGAGCTCAGAGCCTGCAAGTTAACGTAGAATTAAGCATTTGAGAAGTATAAATACAGCGCGCATCCCACTCAGTGCTTAACACTTCCTACTACCTGGACAAGTAGAATTTAGTAAATATGGGAAGATTTTATTAGAACCTGTTTTTTGGTGTTACTTTTTAAAAGCCTTTAAAGAGAAAAACAAGAAATTTCTTGTTATACTGGTCCATGTGATGCTATGAGCTCTATACATGCATGCTTTAAGAGAACAGAGTTGAATATCTGAAATACCTTTTTTCCAAACTCTCTTGCTTTAATCTTGAGTTTATTGACTTGAGATTCTGCTATCTCTGCCCTTTCCTTAGTTTCGTTCAACTCACGTTGTTGCTTCTTATACTTGGAAAGATATTGATTGGCTTGTGCTTCCTATAAAAAAAAAAAATGAAAAAAAAATCCCTGTACCTACATAGTCATATTTTTTCTGCTTTGACATAAGAAAGTTGAAAAATGTGCAAAAGGAATCTAAACTTCTAGGTATTGAGTGGAATATCATGTTTCGGCATGACATATAGGGATTCAGACTTTCCACCAGGCACGAGATCTTTTTATAACTGTTTCTCCCTGGAAATTTAGAATATGGTCGGCACTTTCCACCAACTGGATGTAGTCCAGCTTTTACAGATTTGGTATGTGATAGAATAACCATGGTTGTTTGTTTTCTAATCAGTTCAATATGTAATTCTACCTCTGGATAGAGGAGGCTTGTCTTTACAATTATATGGGTCAACAGGTAATTATTAGACATAAGTGTTTTAGCCCAAATCATTTAAATAATTCAAAACCCCTCAAGAGATATTTTTAGGTGCAAGCCAATAATATATGGCACTTCTCCATTACATTCCATGTAGCAATGGATACCAATCCAAGATTGACAGATACATTTCAAGTGATGGTGTTTTTGTGTACATACAGTCTTGTCCAGGCTCATCAGGAAAAAGGACTATGAATTGAATTTATGCTCAAAGTTTTAGGGTGATGAAGGCCCCTGGGTGATTACCCAACCCAAATTTTGCCATCTCTACTGATGCCATGCTTTAACTTGGCTCATTTCTTGCAGTGCACATGTTTAGATATAAGGTAGAAGGAGAATGCTCTGGCTCCCTGAAGAGAAAAGTAGCACACATTTTTACCATGGGTGATAATTCCAGCTTGAGAAAACACCAGAGAATGAGCAGATTTTAAGCCGAGCTGGTTCTCTCTGACAAGCTGCTCTCCTAGCTCAGGGCCACACATCTCCATTAATCGAAAACAATAGCTGGGAAATCCATAAGGCTGCAACCGCCCTAGGAACTTACTGCTGCCTCAGTTTGCTGCTTGTAACTTTGCAGTTTTAGCTGAAGATTATCCATCAGAGTCTGCATCCTGCTCAGATTTTTCTTGTCTTCCTCTGCCTGAAATGCAAAGGTATGTATGTGAAAGTGATGTGAAGGATCCAGCAGTCTGCATTGAGAGTAGCTCATATGAGGAAATAAGAGTAAGGAAACTTTGTTAAACACCAGATTAGAGTTATGATTTGAAAAATGGATTTAACTCATCTCAAGTTCCAAGGAATTAATAAACACAGCTCTGAGCAACGAGAGTCACTCTCCTGATCCATCACAGAACTCCCAGCCCTTGCTGAAATTGAAGTTAATTTGGTCTTCAGCCCTCCTAACCCAAGTGACGTCTGCCTGTGGTTTCTCAGTCATGCCCCTCCCCATAATCAAATCAGCTCTTCCTTTGCCCTTTATAATTGTCCTTGGCTTTTGGCTAATGGAATAGGAAAGTTTTCTAGAATTCTGGTGTGGACAACAGCAGAGATAGAAAAATTCCATAGGCTATGAGGACCTTGTGTGTGTTCTCATTGCTTCCACTGCAATCCAAGCTTGGGCTGGAGAAAGGAAATCTAGAGAGAGTATTTTTCAATTGTGTTCTGTGGAGCCTTGGGTAATCTGAGAAGGGGAGAAGCAGGAAGGTAGGTAAGGCTCTGCATGTCCCCTCCCCCCGAGTCCCCCACCTTTCCAACATCCTTTAAACTAGAATATCTCCACACTGGGGCTGTTGACCTTCCCCCAAAAGTAAAGTATCTCAATCAGCTGATGGGTGAGATACTGATTTTATCAAGACCTACCACTGTTGCTCAAATTTCGCCCGGCTCTTACCTATTCCATAAATATCAACTTCTTTGGTGGCTTTCATGGTCTCTCCACTGACCTCCCACTGCCTTCCACAAACCCCATCCACTTCAACAAGGTTCACTTCCTATTTTCCCACAGCTCCCTTTCCCGTTTCCTCTTATATAGGTTTAGCTATTATCCTAAGACACAACACAGAGGCAGCAAACAAATACCCAGTCTTTCCATAAAAGAGGCCTATTTGTTTATCTTAGTAACTGTGGCCTGAGAGGCAGGCTTCTAATTTAACAGGTATCAAGGGGCTGGCTGCAACTCTCTCCAAAGATGTGTAGGCTGCTACACCTCTATTCCACCTCTGGTTGCTGGTATCTCTGAGAAAGAAGCTTGTGCACATGTCTGGTACCCTGGCTTTTATGGCTGCTGTGCAGAGAACACATACCTTGATAGCCTGGCTCTGGTGGCCAGCAAGGCTTTGTTCATGGGTTCAATGGGATGATAGCAAACAAAGAAAACAGTTCTTAACTGGCTATCACCCCAAGGCTCGGTGCAGAGGAATCAGAAATGCTCATCTCCCAGTCTTCCCGTGAAAGAGGTATATTTGTATATTTTTAAATCTCGTTCCTGAAGGTCCAGCTTCCAATCAGCCTGCATCTAGGTAGTGACTGAGATCCTCCCCTTTGGGACACTGATAGGTTTTAGATACCCTCAATTACTAGGAGCCACTAAATACAAAGAATACTACTTGGACAATCACAAGACTTCAGAGACAACGAAGAGCTAGGACAGGGTTGAACAATAATCATTTTCTATGCGAAATCACTCATTCAAGACTGGAAGAGCTAGCTGTTTTATTTAATGCATAGAAACCAACACAAAGAGTCAAGGAAATGAAGAAACTAAACATGTTCCAAATGGAAGAACAAAATAAACCTCAGAAAAAGACAAAGGTAAATGATTTACCTGATAAAGAGTTCAAAATAATGGT